GAGTTCCCCAGGTCAGCGCTCACACTCACTCTCACAGGAAGGAAGCTGCTTCATTCCTCTGGACTTCCTGTCACATGATCAAGTCTCTCAGGAAGCTGCAGCAGCGTCCGCTGCGGGGGTGGGACTAAATGACCTCTGACCTCTGCTTTCGTTTCAGATGCCAGCCTGCCAGGTGAAGACATGGCGGACGACAACAAGAGCTGCCACTGCGAATTCGTCCCTCAGGACCTGACGCCGGGGTTAAAGGTCACCATCAGGGCCATCTGGTAGGAGTCCGTCCGTCAGAGGCTGTCTGCTGCGCCGCCGACCATCCATCGCTTCTCACTCCTTATTTGCTGTTTTATGCACTAAGTCATGATTTAATTCACATTATTTTATTTACTTATGTTTTATTTATGCTCACGCCAGGGTCAAAGGTCATCATCAGCTGTTGGGTAAGAGCAGTCACGTCACTCAGCGTCATTATTTCACTGTTCTGTCCCGTTTTCCTGCAGCCCGCTTTATTATTATTTTATTGCTGTTGCTCTCTACGGCCAGGCTTCAGTTTTACTCTGGATTCGGATCCCAGATCTGTTCCAACCGCCGTCAGTGTTTCCCGGTTCTGGTTCGTTTCTCTGGTTCTGTCCGGGTTCTACTTCATGTTCAATTCAAGTTAAGGACGTTGTAGTTAGAGAAACGAAGAAGAGTTACTTTCTGCAGAATTTTCTAGAAAAAAAGTTGGACATTTCTGAGTTTGACAAATTTAAAATTTTCAAGAAAGGAACTGTCTCGCCAAAAAAGATTATTCTCATAAATTTTCTGAAAACATTTGTCAATTTCTGAGTTTCAGAAGTCACAAAGTGTTGGACTTTTAGATTTGTAAAAATCCTAACGAGTGAACATTATTTATAAGTTTATCCATTTGAATGTGATGCAGCTTGGTTTTTTAGTGAATTCAATTGAACATATGAGGAAAAGGGTTTACAAATCATCATGTTCTGTTTTTATACATCAATTCAGTGGAAATGTGGTTGTAGGTTCTGCTCTGAAAGAACAGAACCACTGGACTGGACCAGATCCAGTTCAGTACCTGGCTGTGACCGGTCCAGACAACACGCCCTGTTGTGGGCCTGTGCTCCAGACCAGAACCAGCAGGACCTGGTCCGAGTCCGGCTGTGGTGACGCTTCCTTGTCTCTGGCAGCATCATGCGCTTCATGGTGTCCAAGAGGAAGTTCAAGGAGAGCCTCCGTCCCTACGACGTCATGGACGTGATCGAGCAGTACTCGGCTGGACACCTGGACATGCTGGCCCGCATCAAGAACCTCCAGGCCCGGTAAGGCTCCAGGCCTCGGCGCCTTGCCGCTCCGACTCTAAATCAGCTGTGACCGGGTTCTGTCTGGTTCTGGCAGGGTGGATCAGATCGTGGGAAGAGGAACCCCCATTGCAGACAAGGACCGTCCCAAATCAGGTGGCGAGGAGATACCTGAAGACCCGAGCATGATGGGACGTCTGGGGAAGGTGGAGAAGCAGGTGAACGGCCTGTGGTGTGGCCCGCCACACTGCTGCCACTACACTCACTTTATTTATTAAGGACAATGTACATGAATTACATTTCTGTAAATGTGCCAGAGTTAGCTGAAAGCCTCTTTCCATCTGTGGCCCGTAGTGCTGGCAGCATTTGCTGGTTTTCTGGATTTAAACATGGTGGTTAAGCACCAGCCTTACTGGTGCTTAACCAGAAACCAGTAACTGGTGGCTTAACCAGGACCACTGGTAAGACCTGCAACTCTGTCTTGATGCAGGTCTGGAACTGAACTAATCATTTGGTCTAACCTCTGATGTCCTGCAGGTCCTGTCAATGGAGAGGAAGCTGGACTTTCTGGTGAACATCTACATTCAGAGAATGGGAATCCCTCAGGCAGAGACGGATGCCTATTTTGGGTCGAAGGAACCGGACCCGGCACCGCCGTACCACAGTCCAGTGGACCTGCAGGAGAAGAACCAAACCCTCTCCAAGATCCTGCAGTGAGTGTGTCATGAAGCAGTGGTGTAGCAAGCTTTTCTAAAGTCTGGGGACTGAAACTTTTAATCAGTGCATGGAGGCACACATCACCTCATCCGCTTTGTAAGATGCTGCAGTGGCAGCTTCATGCTGTGGGAAGATAATGTTGATGGAAAGGTAAATTAAGTCAAAAACAGGAAAATCCTGAATGGAAAGCAACTAGAAGCTAAAGACTTCCAAAATAATGACCACTCCCAACAAGCCAGAGCCACAATTGATGGTCTATAATAAAGCATTTTCATCTTGGAATGGCCTAGCTAAAGCCCAGACGTAAATGTTCTGTAGTATGGCATTCCCAGTTACTGTTCACTGAGTCTGACAGCAGCTGTTTTACTAATAAAAACAATTATATATTTCAGTCTGTAGCCATCCAAAGCTGGTAGAGATGTACAACTGGTAATAAATAGTTTGGTCTTTGCATGCCACACTTTTCAGATTTATATTTGTAAATTATTTTAAATACTGCATCATTTCTTTTCACTGACCTACCAAGAATTCAATATACTGAAGCTTGTGGTTGCAAAGTGAAAAGGTTCAAGTGGTGGTTGCTTTTATGACGCTCAGTTTTTTAAATGTTAGTTGATCATATTGAGTAAAAAAAGATAAAAAATAAAATATATTTTTTTGTAGATAGCATTGTGCTGCATTGGACAACTTAACCTCAGTTTAACAATTTCTGCATTGATTCCCCAGAGACGGGTTACTGTTTACAATATAGTGGAAGCTAAGGGTCAAAAGGTCATATGTGTTCATAGCATGCTAAAATCACAGCGCCGTCTGGTGGCCTGGCATGGGAACTACAAATGACTAAATGTGCTTTGGCGGTACCATCTAAATGTGGAAATTAACATAAAAAACAACCACATTTTACATTCATACATGTAGTTTTACAAAATCTCTTCCTGTTGAAAAAGCATTAAAAAATTTAGTTTTTATTATTTTGTGAATCTCTGAAAACATTGACACAGTCCCTGCAATAAAACGTTTTTCAATCAAAATTTAATCTGCTATAAACCCCACGTTTTATATTTCTTTTCTTTTAGTTTTTTATTTTGCAGTGGTTTTGTTTTTCCCCCTCTAACCTCGGTATATATGTGTTCTGTTAACAGTAGTTATACCAGTCAGTGTATTATTACTTAGGGAGGAATATATCAGGTTTTTTTTTTTGTTTAAATGTGAAATGGTCATTGCCATTTGGTTTATGCTTTGTGTTTTCAAATATGAAGTCAGTTATGAGGCAACAATCTCATGTAAACAGAGTCTAAAAGTTTTTTTTTTTTACTCAAGTCACTGTAACTGAGTAAATGTAGGAACTGCCAAACTAGGGTGGTGCGAAACTGGAAATCTGGGTATCGGACCGATAGCTAAATTTCCTTTTGTTGTTGTTTACGTGTCTGCAGGGTGTTGCCTGGCGACCACATGGAGAGGACCCGCTTTGTGACCAAGATGGTCCGCTCCAGCAGCTCCACCGGACACAGGAACTACGCCGCCCCCACCTGCCCGCCCTCCACCTCCTGGCAGCCAATCAGCTCCCAGCTCCACCAGCAGGCCCCTCCCCCTCCACAGCGTAGCCATGGCAACACCCCGAGCCCGGTGGGCGACGCTTCGCTGGTCCGCCTCCCCCCACCTCCAGCAGGGGAGAGACACGGCGGGAACCGACCCAGTCGGCACGGCGGCGGGGAGCGGGCCGGGACGGAGCGGAACGGGGACGAGGCGAAGCTCGACAGCGACACCTCGGTGTCCATCCCGTCGGTGGACCATGAGGAGCTGGAGCGCTCCTTCAGCGGTTTCTCCATCTCCCAGTCCCGGGAGAACCTGGACTTCCTGAACAACGGGTTCTACCCGTCCGCCGGGCCGGGGGAGCAGCCGGCCGGCGGCAGCAGCGGAGGCTCCGTTCACCGCGCCGCCCGCCGGCCCTACATCGCCCAGGGGGAGTCCGACTCCGACTCCGAGCTGTGCGCCCCCTCTCCGCACTCGGACCGGGCCTGGACCGGCACCAAGTAGGGCCGACCCGAAGCCGAACCAGCAGAACCCCTTTTTTAAACTCAGACCCGTCACTTAAACACCAGCTGTGGGCGAAGCTTTATGCGGAAATAGATGGACTGATGTCACCATTTATACAGCGAATGCTTGCCACGCTCGCACCTGATTGGTTCCCACTGACCAATCAGACTCACTGTTTCCACAACATCTGCTTGACCGAATGACACGTGAGGATAGCAGTTACCATGGCAACCACATTGTCCACCCACTGACCCGCCCAGAATCCGGGTCGGTTCGGTTTTAAATCAGAACCTCAGGTTCAGACATAAACACAGAACTTATTTCTAATTTTCTGCTTTTTTTTCTGAAACTTTTTGTCTCCTGGTTTGGATCTCCAGCACAAACCCTCCAGGTACCTTCAGGAGCCGCCACCAGAACCAGAAGCGGACCTCTCCTGGTTCCCTTTGATGAAGCTGATCAGAACATGTCCGTCTCTTTGGTTCTGGTTCAATTTACAATTAAATAACCCTGAATGTTGACCCTCAGCGTTCTTCTGTTCTGTCCGGTCAGATTCTGGTACTGGATTTCCGGGACGACTCCAGTTTGGTTCTGAGAACTTCTGTATCTGACCTTTGACCTCATGGGGATCTCCAGCAGGTCTGAGGGCTGAAAGGGCCGATTAATAAAATCCCGTTAAAATAAACATGTCTTCATTCCTTCAACCTGATCAGTCCCTCCAGGATTTCATGATTGTTTTTGTGGAAGTAATTTAGAAATATTTGAAGAAATTTTGCAGTGACTGTGACTTTGCTGCTCACCATATCAACTATAAATTCACCAACATATAAATGCAGTACTAAAACACACTGCCTCCTGCAGGTTGGCAACAATTAACCTAAATTTTTCGACATCCACCGCAAAAAACTCAATTAGTGCCAAAAAATGAGGATCTGTAGGTTTTCACAAAATTAGAATAATGAAAAACTAGAGGGACTTACTGATGTGATTTGACACACTGATAAAAACTGCTTTGGTTCATATGATAAACTTATCTTGAAGGCTCTGTTTATGCGTTGCTCTGGCCGGATTTGGCCGCCGGACTTTCAGTTTGACACAAAATGTTTTAAAATGTGTTCACATCTAATCCACAAAGAATGAAACCAATGACAGAAATATTATTTTATAAAGTTTGTTTTAACAGGTAGAAAAATATTTGGTTTGCTGTCAAAAAACAATAAAAAAAGTACACACACACACACACAGAGAGCATCAATGCATTCAAACTTGGAAAAAGCTCTCTCGGGCACAAGGAAGTGAAAAATAAAAATGAACAAACGAGATTGTTCCTTAGTAACAAAGAGAAAAAAACAAGACAAACACTGAAAACCAATTAGTAACTAAAAAAGGCAAATAAATGAAAAAAAAATAACTTGAGATTTTCTAACTTTGTTTATAAAATTTGTCAAAACATATGTGGCAAGAGATTTTTTTAAATTATGCAGTTACTCAAACTGTTAAATTAAAATGTTTAATAGTGTTTTTTCATCAGATTTTCATATTTCATTGCTGAATTGGGAATTCATAATGTATATGCAAAAATATTTAAGCCATTTTGGTGGGAAATATTCTTCCCAGAATAATTAAATCCCACTTACTGAAATAAGTTTTACATTTTTTGTAGTTTCTATTCTGACATTTTAGTTATATACACCCAAATATTTATTTTCTATGAAACTAAACCTGAAAACAAAACTAAAATAGAAACATCTACATTTCATACATTTGTATTAAAAACAGGTAGTACTGTAAATGTGGTTCTGAAGGTCCAAACTTGTCTGAAGCTGCACATCCCATCCACCAGATGGCAGCAGTAACTTTTCAGGAACCAGTCAGAACCCGGTTCTGCCTCCAAACCAGAGGTCCAACCTCAGCGGTCCAACAGAACCAGTGACAGTATCCAGATGTTTTAATGTTCAATGGGTCAAATCGGACCATCACAGCCGGGTCACATGACCAACCAGCGCCACCACCACTTTCAAACAAACTTTATTTATAATCTGGTGCAGACAAAGACATGGAGAACTGGTTTCTCTGGTTTCTCTGTCCTCACTTCTTCCTGAACCTGTGGAACAAAACAGAACCTTTCTACCGGGTCGAACAGAACTATCACCAAAGCCCAGATGTGAGGCTTACCTGGAGCCACCCGACCGCTTCCTGTCCAAGCCGAGGCGCTTCCTGTCTGCGAAGGATGGCCTGAAGGAGACAGACAGCAGGTCAGAAAAGACAGAGAGCCAACTGGTAACCAATGACCAGTAGATGACCAGTAGATGATCAATAGATGATCAATAAATGACCAGTAGATGACCAATAGATGACCAGTAGATGACCAATAGATGACCAGTAGATGACCAATAGATGACCAGTAGATGACCAA